GAGGGAGAAGGGTAGTAGGCGATTGTTGCACAGTCGGTTGGTGGGCGAAGGGCAGGAGTGAGAACTGACGTGCGATTTCCTCACGGATGAAGGACTTTAGTTCTGCCATCAACGCCACTTGGTCACAACTGGCCTCCAAGCCAGCAAGCGTTGCAGCTCGTGGTGGGGAGCGTCGGGTCATCGAACGCTGCCGGCGGAGCTCCTCGTAGCTCTGGCACAGTGTGATGACCTCAGCCACTGTGCCGGGGTTTTTGGCGAGCAGCATCGTGAAGGCATCATCGTCAATGCCTTTCATGATGTTCCGGATCTTGTCAGACTCGGACATGGTGGGATTAGATTTGTTGGATAGGTCCAGGACGTCTTCAATATAGCTCGTGAATGACTCACCAGCCTCCTGAGCACGTTCACGCAAGCGCTGCTCGGCTTGCAGCTTGCCAACAGCAGGGCGGCCGAAGACGTTGATGATTGCGGTCTTGAAATCGGACAAGGTGGCGAAATCGGACGCGTGGTTGTTATACCACAAACTGGCAACACCCGTAAGGTAGAATACCAAGTTGGTCAGCTTGCCGTCCTCGTCCCATTTGTTGGGGACGCTCACGCGCTCGTAAATAGCGAGCCAGTCCTCCACGTCAGTGCCATCAGCGCCAGTGAAGATGGGTGGATCGCGGATTCTGGGGACACCGGGACAAGGGGGTGGCATCGGAGGAGGCGTTTGCTGAGAAGCGTCGTGGTACATAGTAGATGGCAGGGTACGTGATCGTAGCTCCAAAGGCATAGACAGGGATCGCAGCACCTCCACCAAATTGTTAAGGCGTTTACTAGCCGGCAACGAGCGAGAATATATAATGGCGACAGTCACAGCCAAGCACGGGCTCTCAGCGCGAGCGGCGTCCTTGTTGGGTAGCCCCACTAGAAGGTACTCAAGAGTTCAACCCATTTCAGCGTTCGGAGGCTTCGCTACAGTATGTTAAGTCTGTGGCATCCACAGGTTACAATGTTCTTCATTTTTATTGTTTGCAAGCTACGTATATAAGTTCACTAGACGCCTTCAAAATTATTTGGGCGCACGTTAAAGAACCCCAGATGGTCAAAATTTCCGGAGCCCTCCACTACGGCGTCTCTCATAATGAAATGGTGGTTTTGGGACGTTAAACCCCACAAATCAAGATATGGGTGTATTGTGAAATCTTGGCAGAAAGAAAAGTGGGCGAAAAGATGACTTGCCGTTGGCAGGTACCTCTCCGGTTACTTGCCCACGACAAGTTATCTTTTCACCCACTTTTCTGCCCCGTTGAACTGAGCACGTCGCGGAATGAAGAAAGCGATTCTTAGCACGAAACACTACATCTAATCACTGCTACGCTGGAAGAGAGTAGAAAGATGTGGCTGCGACATTGAAAGAACGCGCATGCGCACTCTTCACGTCAGATGGCGCGGCGATGCGGTTTTATCTAAAGGTTTGGGGCTTTATGGCGAAAATGTGCGCTGCGATAATTGCGGTGACGCACAGAACTATTTGTCTCCCACCGCAAGAGGAGAGCGCACGCGCCCTGAGTGTCGCCTGCTACATCTGCCACTCGCCTATTCCACTATGCTACTGGATGCAGCTACCAACGTTTTTGCCGGCGCGGTTTGTCAAAACAAATTGAAGCAAATAGAGCATCTTAGTGCCAGGATTTTTGTCTATATATGTTCAATCAGATGCCCTTCGGACAACGAAAGGAATGAAGTGGTAGATTATAAAAGCAGATGATCTCTATTCGTAGCCAGGTGCGTGCCTGATATCACTCACTGTGTAGCTCGAGGGTAGATTTTCGCACCTTCTTCGATATAACAGCGGCCATACAGAACTACTCCACGTGAAAGAAAGACAGATATTGATGAAGCACGTTTGAGCAGACGGCAATTGATTCAACAGAAGTATGTAGACAGCCTCCAGCTGTGAATCAATACTGCGTGAAAAAAGTTCGATCTTTCAACGCTCCGTCTGACCAATAACAGCAGCAAGAATGGGTGAGGGCTATATGAAGAGGAGCGACTGCATCTAAAAAAATCATTTTCGCAGCAGCACGGTCAGCAGGTGGGACACTACGCCAAGTTTAAATTTCCAGACGTCCCTGGCCAGCCAAACTTCTCGTGGCTCCTCGAAGCGGCACCTTACGTTATTAAATAGAGATTTTTCTAACTCGTGCCCATGAATAAAGCCAAGACCTGACCGCAATATCACGTAAGTTACTGATAAAAGCAGTGCCAAATGAGCGAAGGTAACGGATACTCGTTACGTCTTCAGCGAAAATTTTATACAAACCTCCGAACTTCCAGGTCAGGTACATCGCGAAAAAAATAGTGATTCTAAGTTTAACGTGTTTGGTTGTTACAGCTTGGCATAAACGATTGTTTCTCAGAAAGTTACAACATAAAACAAGTTACGGAAGAGAGCAAACACACCAGAAAAACCTTTTCATTGTTTTTTATTCTCATTTTTGTTTTTCTTTAATATGAATAGCTCCCCTTGTATGTTTTTTTCAATTAGCGCATATTGTATGCCCTGTTCCCAAAAATAATATTTCTGCCCTCGCATGCAAAGCTGAAAGAGTGAAAGCGAACCTGTTTAGGTCTTGTGGACAGCTTCGTGAAACTATCGCGGTATGGTCTCTCTTCCAAGGCGCTCTGGCTAGCTCAGTGAAAACTCATCGTAACAATTAGCCGTCTCGTTTGGTGAGTGTATCTGAGCTATGCACTGACACACTGAGCGGTGAGTACAGGCGTGCAAGCAGACGACAAGAGCGGGCTCCACGCTCTCCGGCGCGGCACTTCGGCCGTGATCTCGTAGGTGGCGCTGTCACGACGTTCACCGCCGCTTCGTGGGGTTACACAATCGCGGCGCAGAAAGGAGCCGAGTTTCTCTCCTGTCTATTCTTCCTCCGTGCTCCAAACTCAAAACTCCACAACTCGAATCCCGGCAGCTCGAAGCTCCACAACTCAAAACTCTACGATTCGATACTCCACAACTCAACTCCACGCTCAGTACTCCACACTCAGAACTCCATCACTCTAAACTCCACAACTCGAAACTCCACACTCAGAACTTCATCACTAGAAGCTCCACAACTCAAAACTCCACAGCTCGATACTCCGCAACGCAAGGCTCCACAACTCACAACTCCACACTCAATACTCTACAACTCACAACTCCACAACTTGGAACTCCACAACTCAGAACTCTATACAAATCAAAGCTTCACAACCGAGAACTCCGCTTACTCGAAACTTTACAACTTGATACTCCAAAACTCAATACTCTACAACTCAAAACTTCACTACTCAAACTCCACACTCAAAACTCCACACTCACAACTCCACACTCAATACTTCATACCACGGAGTAAAAAAGACAGGTGGGGAAACTTCGGGCCTGCGCCAGCGTGAGCGTGCGCCGCCATATTGTCACCGTGGAAGAGGAAGTTGGGCGGATAGATGGAATGATATGGCTGTAGCCTTTAGGTAGGCGGCGACTAATGCCACCTAGCCGTAATGCTCAGTGAACGAAAGCTAGATTTATCTTTCTTTCCTTTAAATACTGAAGTTAAGGACTAGCACTTCGCATTGAAGAATTTAATTTTCACGCGTGCCTTGATTGTAGCCACCAATCAGATAACCTCTTTCTAGTTATTTCTACCCGCTTAAAGTCTCTTTTGCCCTCCCGGTCCCTAAACCCCAGTGCTTTGAAAAACCGTGCGCCATCATGCTGAACGTTTTGCGAAGTTTCCAAAGTCCTTAACAGAACATTATCAAGTGTTCAGCAGTTTCCTCCCTCCACACGCACTGCATACCGTGTCTGGCCCTTGTATTTTGTATTCGGCCTGATAAGTCTTGGTTCACAATACTCCCGTCCTGGCCTCAAACAGTAGAGAACTACCCTGAGAATTATTATAGATCCTTTTCTTGGCAATTTCCTGCTTAAAAGTTCAGTAGATCTCTAGTGCCGACTTCTTAATCATGCCTATTTTGCACATGTTGGTCTCCGTTGGCGAACTAAAGCCCCTATACTTCGTAAAAGTGCCGCCATCTGCTCTCCATCTCGCCGCCTCCTCTCTAGCGCGTTGCTTTTTTTTTTCTTTCGCTTTCGACAGTGGCGCCCCCTGCAACGCGTCACGAGCTTGCAGTTTGCTTTTGAGCCAGTAAGAGGAGGAAGCGGCGCAGATCAAAGGAACGCTGTACTTTTCCGAAGCTATAGGGGCTTTAGCTTTATCGAATTGCGGTCGTCGCTCGCACGTCCCGACTTATTTTGTCAATGGGTGTACGTATACTGTATACACATATAAAGTGTAAAACGTCCAGTGGAAGGTGGGGTATAACCCCTTTGCATACGCCACTACAATGCTGGTCGCATTGTTTTATGGCGCGTTTTGATGGTTACGATTGTGTTGCTATTCTAAAAAGTAGGGTGTGCAAACATGGATGCAAGAATCTGAGTGGCGTACCGATAGTAGTGGCGTGGCATATAGATAATAGTGATAGCGCATGCGTGCATGAGCCGACTGTTATTAACTTGCACAAAGAAGAAATTAAATGCCTAAACAGTTATGTATCACGTATACAGAACCCGACGCAGGACGGATTGATAGATTTGCCTATTGCGGGGTATGCGCAGATAAAATTTCGCGCCTTCTTTCCTGTCCGCCTCTTTGCGTATGTCCAGTTGTTAGTCGGCGTTTTCAGGTGTCCTGACTTCTTTCTTGTGTCTCCTTTCTTGTGTCTGAGAATGAGCACTTGCCACCTAGCGCAGCTCATGTTATTCTAAGCGCCATGTTGCAATTTTCCTTGTGTGTGGATAATCAGAGCAGGAAATATGGCGCATTGCGAACTCAGACAAGGAGCATGGATTGTTGTGGGCATGTGTCTTCGACGAGCACTGCTTTCTGCGCCGGTTGTACAGCGGCCTGTCGCTAATTCCAAACGATCTAAATTGCTTGACTGGTGATTCCTTTCCTTCCCAGGACTGTGACCAGGCGCACATCGATGACGTGGCGTCGGACGACAACGGCCAGGACCTTAGGTAAGTGCATGCCTTCTACGTGAGGTAAATACGTGCTTTCTACGTGCTACATTAAGCCCATGTTCCTGGAAAGGCAAATCGGCCTGCTACGTGCGTTGCGGTATGTATCTGTACGTGTAGCGCAGGAAATATGTTTGTTAATTGTGTTGTTCATGAAATAGGAAGAGCCTAACTACGCCATCTCAACGCACAACTTTTTATCGCAAGCTGGCAGGATTTAAATTCGTTTGAACAGACGTTAGTGCAATAAAACGAAAATTTGGTAACATAAAATTCGGTCCTCAGCTATTTCTTCAGGCATTCTCTCACTGGGCGGCCGCTTCAAAAACATATGGAAACTTAACCAATAGTTCTGTCAAGGGAAAATTTTATTGAGCGGATGTAATCCGTATTGGCGATGAGTTTTGATGAGACTGACCTGCAGCCTCGCGCTTGCCTTCGCACTTATAGGAGTCTGCGCGCGTTTGTTATGAAGGCACGAGTAATTGGATTACCTAGACACACCTTTTGCTTAGTAAAAGCGCTTGCGTTGTAATGCTCCTCATTGTTGACTCATTTTTTACAGCGAAAGCTCTTATGAAATCACACCCCAGGTGGTCGAAATTTCCGGAGCCCTCCACTACGGCGTCTCTCATAATCATATGGTGGTTTTGGGACGTTAAACCCCACATATCGATCAATCAATCAATCTTATGAAATCACTACTCGGGTCACGCGTGGCATCGTAGTTGTCCGCCGCCGCCGGTGTCCGTAACCACATCGCACGCAATTAAAAGGAAAAAAAACCTAGAACCAATGACGCAATGGGGCTCGCGAAGCCGGGTCCGCTGGGTGCCAGCCCAGTACTCTACCAGTGAGCCATGCCGGTGCTTGACTTATTCACAAGCTTGCCTTAGGCAGGCGTCACACAATGCTAATAGCGTAATGAGTGGCTCGTCCGATGCTCATTACAAAAGCTTGTTCTTGATCACCTAATAACTGCGGTTCATACCCACTTTAGGCTTAATTCTTCATATGTGTCGGCCACTGCATAAAAAATATTGCACAGTATTCCTAGCAAGTGTGTAGCAGATACCACGCTTCCCAGAAGAATGACAAAGGATAGCATAGCAAATGCCGGCTTAATCATTTTTATTATTAATGCCGTAGTGGGCATCAAGCAAGTGTGCTTGCAGCAGTTTCGCAATGAGTGTTTAAAAATGGCTCTGAAAGCCCGCTCTTCTAGTTTCACTGTGCGCCTTGCGCGCAGGCCTGGCGTTTTTTTTTTTTTTTAATAATCTAGCTGCTTACTTTTTCTTTATTTAAGGGCGCTTCATTCAGTGTATTTATTCGCGCATCATTTCTGTTCTTTTACCGTTTCCCGGATTTGATGAAGACGTCCGTGGCTTGGCCTACTGTTGGCTATCGTACCTAGCGGCTTATTATTATATCCACGTGAAAGACGCCGCACAGCTTTCTTCTCACTCTCTTTATTAAATGCGAAGCAGCTTCTGGCAGAGTTCAGTCCACTGTGGGGCGTGACCACCGTTACTGCGCATGCGCGTCCACCTCTCTCTCATTTCCTCTTCTACGCTCACCCCTCTCTCCCGAGTCTCCGGGGAAGACAACGAAGCGCTTAGCAGCAGTGCAGCGTCCACATCCTCCAGTGCGCATGCGCATCCCCCCTCCTCCTTGTTCTCTTAGTCTACTCTCTCCTCCTCATAGGCTCCCCGCCGAAACGCGTTCCACGTTTCTGTGATACAATGCGCGTCTGATTTATTCGTAGTCGTTGATCGGCGGGCTTGCGGCGTTTTCTGGAGACGGAGTGCGTTTGCTCTGGTTAGCACGGGATCACGTTCGATGTCTGGTGTGTGCGTTAAGGGACCGGCTATTTTGCAGTGCTGTAGTTGTGATCACCGGCATCAAGCGATCGTCAACGGCAGCGTTAGTCAGGTAGAGGTTCTGAATGGTGGTGCACCTGCTTAATAAGGCGACGTAGACTGTTCGGGGAGTTGGTAATCCGTCATGAGCGGAACTGCGTGAAAAAAAAAACGTAGATAGACGCAGAAACGAATAAGCGCGTACAAACTGACATTTTAAAGAGAAAAGCGCGATATATAGGAATACTACGCGCGCTTCAGTAAATGGCGGGAAGGAACTACGTGTGCGCATCAAGATACCCAATATCTGCTTTCTTTGTGCAACGCAGCCGAAGGTTAGAAGTCACAGCTATCTCCGGCTTTGAAAATATAAAATAAGCTTCAACATTCTCGCGCGTCGCACGTTTCTTGTACCGCGCCAGATCTTGGGTTCCTTTGAAAACCTGGCTGCACTTACAAACACGGCATGTTTGCTGAAGGCTGTCCTTTTATTGATAACCTGTGGTCATTCAACCTCTCACTGAGACAGCGGCCAGTCTACCCGATATAACTGCTACCACAAGAGAGGGGAACAGAGTATATGAACCACACGTACTACATATCTCTATCTTTACAGTCCCCACTCTTCCTTCTCAATGCAACGCAGCACGGGCGATATTTCTTCTGATCGACCTTTCCTTTCTTTAATCGCTCCTCTACTCCTTTGCCGCTTCTCTTGTGTACCGAGCCGCTCAAGCTGTTCCGACGAAACAATGAAAGCCTATAGCGCGGGACACGCGTAGTCACACATCTTGGTGACCGAATTTCTTGCATAGCTTCCGCAGCGTTGCACCTGGTGTATGAAAAGGAGTATAGGTGACGATTTTTCGGTTACGTTAGGCTCGCTCGCTGGATTCTGTGCCGACAGGTTGTGCCCTCGAGATCTCCGACGACAGCGCAGCTCTGGCCGACTGGGTTGGTCCTACGCCATCTCCTGACGCCGACAAGAGCTCTCGCAAGTGGTGCCCCGTCCTCGGACTCCTGTAGCCGTGTTTCCATCTTTCTTATCTCTCCTATCTCTAATAAGTCTTCGCTCGTTGTCCTAGCGCAACTCTCTTTCTCTCTATACCTTTAATCCTATCCTTTTTGAATCCCTCCTCAACCCCATCCCTTGTGAGCTACTGTTGAGGTGTCTCACGCTGATGCAGACAGTTACGGGGCTCACTTTTCTCTTCTTTTCTCTCTTATAACCACAATGATGATGGTTACGTTACATTGTCCTTCCCGTCTTCAGATTTGGGTGCACGTTAAAGAACCCCAGGTGGTCGAAATTTCCGGAGCCCTCCACTACGGCGTCTCTCATAATCATATGGTGGTTTTGGGACGTTAAACCCCACAAATCAATCAATCAATCCTTCCCGTCTCCTCGCAGCAACTACAACTTCGCGGCCGACGGCTTCCAGGCGGGAGGCGTCGGCGGATCGGGCGGCCCAGGCGGCCTCTGCCTGTCGTCGGGAGGCATGCGCGGCGGCGTGGACTGGATGCGCAAGCTGGCCTTCCGCTACCGGCGCATCAAGGACATCTACAACCAGTACCGCTCCAACGTGGCCGGACTGCTGGGACCCAAACGAGACCAGTGGCTACAGCTGCGCGGAGAGATCGAGGCCCATACCGACAGCTGGCTCACGCTCGCCATGAAATGCCTCTCCGTCATAAACTCGAGGTATACACGCCTCACCAAGGCACGGATAGCAATAAAAACGAAATTGCATTAAAAACAAGACATGAATCTGTTAGGCTCATTCAGGTTTGCATTAGTATGACAGCAACGACATATAACTGACTAATAAATGAAAACGGGCTAGGCTGGCAATTAAATTCCTATGATTTAGAGTATAGCGTCAAGAAGTGCTTCGACTAAAGCAAGTTCAGCCTGCGAAAAAATTCGGCAGATCCCACGTACCTTGGGAATCGACGTTATGCGAAGCATGCGTGGAGAAGCTTATTGTGTTGTAATATTTTTAATTGAGCGACACGTTACGAAAGAACCCTAGATATATGTGCAAATGTGTCATGCGCAGACACACATAGAAGAGTTGCAGATGTTTATACAAAGTTGTTTGCACTTGCGCAGCGATTACAACAAGAACGCGAGTATTACCATAACCAGGAGCTGATGCGCTGGTGCTCGCGGCGATCGGTTAGGCCTGGCTATATAAATCAACTTGGCACCTCCTTGCAATTGACGTTAACCGATGGTGCAAGAATACTTTAGGTGAGCGAACTCCAGGACTATCCGGTGCCCGATAATGTACTGCTTCGGCAAGGAGCCCGAGAGATGGCGCCACAAACTTTGTCCTAATAAGGTTCCTAGATGTTTCATTCATCTAGGGACCTTATGCCTCGGCTCCCTCCTCCCTTTCGGTGTAAGAAAGCCCCGTACGTAGGAAAGTAGCCTCGCTCATTTATCGTCGGCCAAGACACCCTCGCCGCACTGTGAACTTCCTCCCTTATCACCCTCTCCTTCGCCGCGTCACTTTATGCGTGTCGCGTGGTTGTTATCGCGTGATAACCCGGTTTTACCCGATTTGGAAACCACCGCCCACGTGCCGAATGTGCTTTGAGAAATTTGCCAGCAGCCCGCCCCGGTCCTCAGTCCGGTGAGCCGTCTATCGGCACGCCGAAAACGAGAACATAATCGGTCCCTCTCCGCCAAGCGCTCGCTTCGAGGAGTTCGCTCACCTAAAGTATTCTGGCACCGTGCGTTAACCCGACGTGATGGCTGTATCATAAGAGAACATATAAAAAAATTAGGGGACCCTAAAGCTTGGCCATTAGGGTTTGAATGCGATAGCGATCTACTGTTCCTAGTGCGTACTTCAAACGCTGAGTGCATGAAACCTTTTCGAACTTGCTATGCATCCACTACGCGACCTTAAAGGAATAGGCGCAGCAGCGTGAGTGCTTGCAGTGGGTGACCGGCTTCAAAGCACGAAGCAATTAATGATAATCGTATGTTCTGACGTTCTGTGGCAATGGGCGGGTGTTTGTACCACACCTTATTACTGCAGTATTTTATGTTGCACTGATAAACATATATACAGGACGCCTGCGTTTGTGAAGCATGAAAGGTACTTTCACTGCATTTTCAAGTAGAGAGAGAGAGAGAGAGCGAGAATAAAATGAGGGAAAGGCGGGAAGGTTAACCAGAAAATGGAGCATCCGGTTTGCTACCCTGCACTAGGGTAAGGGGGAATGGGGAAGAAAGATGGGAAAAGAATCGAAGAGGGAAATAGACGCGCGCAAAAAAAGGAAGGTGGGTGGGGGGGGTAGCTATAGTGGAGAAAGTTCTTTTCACTGCAATCACAAGGATACGCGTGGCCGCCAGGTATTGTCGCCATCCAGTAGACGAAGATCGAGAGTGGCGAAGACACTGAGAACGCCCTACGGCCCTTCCCGTCTGAGTATTACGTTAGCGTTTAACGTGCAATAGGTCTGCCTGTGGGTTGCTGGTTGTTTTAGAGATAGTCTGCTCTGTTCAGCAATCAGTACGAATGTTAACACCTCAAGACAGCTGCACTGAAGGCAGTGGTCTTGCGTTGAGTGCCGGGGTGAATTATCAACTTGTATGCATTTAACGAGGTTTCGAAGTGGGTTGAGTTATTTAAAGACATGTCCAATCTAATTACCTATGTATATATCACTGTGCTAATGAACGACCATAACTGTGTGTGTGATTCTAGTGATCGCAGCAATCCGAATAGTCAACGGAACAGGAGGGGCGAAGTTTTAACTGATATCGTAGATTATGCACGACTGATTGACGTCGACACATTGGGTCAAGTAGCTGCATATACTCGACTTCAGGGAAGTGATTCTGCTCGTCTTGATCGAATTGACGTATATTTATCACTCCTTTCTCGGAAACTTTCGTGCTGCACTCTGCCAAGGTTTCGTTTTCGGATTACTGCATTCTTATAGAAAAAAATTGTGGGAAACCGCCAAACTCACTTTCGACCGCGATGGGCACTTTGGAAGATGAGCTCAGACCTTCCAAGCGATCAGGAATTGAATAATAGAGTTAATGAAGCGACGAGAAATTTTTTCAATAAAGGATTACATCTATTCGCTGCTTGGGAGCTTTTTAAGCAAGAGGTTCGTGCAAAAGACCTTAAAGATCGGATAGGTCAAATCCTACTATCGAAAGAACGATGAAAAGAGGTTGTTTAAAAGGCTGTGTAATCTTTACGAGATTGAATGCGAAAATCCGGGAGCATACAATAATGAAATTGAAAAGATCGAGTGCCAGCTACAAAATTAATGTGGCTCGCTGTAGAGGCGCGCGCGTTCGACCTCGGAACAGCAGGACTTTGGATTCCGAGCAACTGGCGCGTCAAGCTTTACTTGATGAGTGGCATCACACCACGTCCACATTTGTTCCAGATCCGCGTTTTAACGGTGCTATTTCAACAGATACAACGGACATTATCTTGCAAATCGAAAGGTTCTACAAAGTGTTGTTTAGTGGTTTCCTGATGACCATGGTGACGAAAGCACAGCAAACTTTGTTTCTATGTTAAGCCCATCGACCGAAGATGATTGCGCAATCATGAGTAGTCCCAAGACGTTGGAGGAAACTAAGCGGGTCATTGATCAATTCCTTTCTCAAAAATACCTGGTCCTGATGGGATTCCTGCTGAATATTACGAATCTTTCAAAACTACTTTCAGTTCTGTTCTGTTGGGTATATTTAGGAAAAGTTACGGCATGAAGACTCTCCCGCCGTCCTTTTGCAAAAGTTATACTGTTCCTTTTGTGTAGTGCCACCACTGCATACGCACCAGCCGATTGACTGACAATCCTCCTTTTTTGTTTTTTCTCCCTCTCTTTCTCTTCTCGTTCCTCTCTCTCATCTTTATGCCCCCTTCCCATTTCCCCAGCTTAGGGTAGCAAACCGGGAATGTGCCTGGTTAAGCTCCCTGCCTTCCTTCTTGTTGTTTATTCCTCCTCCTCCTCCTCATCCTCCTCCTCCTATACTGTTCCGATACCGAAAACTTCTTATATTAAAACGCTTCGTTCCGTTGAAAGCTACAGGCGAATAGCGTTGTCAAATGTTGACTACAAATGTTTCGCTAAAGTATTATCAAATCAATTACAGTTTGTGATGTCGATACTCATTGGTCCTCACCAGAGATGTAGAATCGGTGGTCGCTGCATACAAGCATACACATCTCTCGAACACTTCTTCAGTAGTGCTACAGCTATCAAGGACAGCTTGCTATGCTGCAGGTGGACTTTGCCAAAGCTTTTGACCGGGTCAGTCACTCCTTTGTATTTTCCCTTCTGGATCATGCAAAAGTAGCCTCTGTTGTGCTGGAAGGTGGTAAACTTTGTTACAATGGCTGTTCAGCCCGGCTAATTAATAATGGCCACCTGTCAAAGCCATTACCTATACGCTCTTCTGTAAAACAAGGCTGCCGTATGTCTCCACTGCTCGCTCCTGTTTGCACGTTTATCTTGAACTGATATATGCCTTAGCGCAATACGATCGAATAGTATTCGCGGCTTGATTATATCAGGCAATGATGCTTAAGGTATTGGCTTATGCAGACGGCGTAGTTTTCTTTTGTTCGGACAAACGAAGTGTTGAGTATGTGTTATTTACAATAAGTATATTCTGCATTGTATCAGAAGCTTGTTTCAATTCATCTAAATGTTTCGGATTATAGCTTGGATCGTGGGGTGGTACGCCAGACAAGTTGGCATGTAATAATTGGACCCGCAGTCCACCCAGATATCTTGGTGTGCACGTCACTCAAAAGGGAGTGTTCCTAAGCATGAACGACATGCCCAGACTGTTGCTCCTGCATCGCCTTTCCATCTTTACGAGAGCTGAAGCTTTCAATACTTTTTTAGCTACAAAGCTTTACTGCGTATTGCAACTCATTCACTGCGCTCGGTCTTACATACAGCGCTTTAATCGCACTTTTGCAACATTCGTGTGGTCTTCGACTTTTGAACCAATGAGACGGACAACCCATTCAGGCCAGTAAGGGATCGAGGGCCGGCATCAGTTCGTTTATATCTATGGCAAATAGTTTCGAGGCTCTGCTTTCTTTCGCTACAGTTCCCATCCCATAATTCGATCCTCCTCGCAAATTACACTCGTTAACGCGTTACCCGACTTGATAGTTTCTTCAGATTTCTCTGTACGCACGTGTTTATGGAGATTTATGCAGGAAATTCTGATTGCTGTGTGGTTTTTCAAAGTCCGATTTTTCATAAAATACTATACGCAGTATCACGCAGAAAACTCTGCTTGCGGTCATTGCGGCAGCGATGAAACTATAGAGCACGCTCTCTGTCACTGCCCTCGCTACAGCGTGCAAAGACGGCAACTAGCTGCTGCGTTAGCTCGCCTTGACGACAGACCTTTGTCTGAACAATCAGTGCTGGAAAGGCGACATGATTCGTGTGCTCACAGAAAATCAGTGAAGGCCTTACTGAACATTCTGCGTGGCATTGGCCTATTGTATAGACTATAGCACCCCAGCCCCCCCCCCCCCCCCCCTTTTTTTTTTGCGGGCGTCTTTCCCTCTTCACTTTCTTTCCCATCTTTCTTCCCCCTTCCCCTAGTGCAGGGTAGCAAACCGGATGCTCCATTTTCTGGTTAACTTCCCCGCCTTTCTCTCATTTTATTCTCTCTCTCTATATATATAGACATTTGTTATCCGTGCTTTTGTCCGCCTGCCCTTCACCGCTCATTATATTTTAATCTTCCAGGACAAGATGTACTAAAACGAGTTCGAAAAATGTCCGGACATACTATACATTACCTTCTCCCAGAATGTCTTGATGAAGCGCTCTTTGATATGTTCCTTCTTATTTAACTGCACAATCTGTGGGAAAACACGTACGTACGCGATACCGTAATGCAGAACCAACGACTGTTTCATGTATGCATTTCATGGCTCTTCCGCTAAAGGACGTTTACGAAGAACTTGACTTCAAAAGAGACTGGCACCCCAACTTGATGAGATGCTCATCCTTGCCAACCTTTTGCAGAGCTTTTCCTCTTTTTTCTTTTTTTGGACTTCCTGAGTATATATGTCGGTAACAAGATAAATATTTCTGCTGTACTGTGATTATTGTCGATGTGTGTGTGTGTATCGCTACGTCGAAGTTATAATTCAAATACGCATTACAATAAATATCATGAAAGAAAAAAGAGACGCGTGGCCGTATGGTAGAACATCCGCTTGCCAGGCAATATGACCCGGGATTTTTTTATGATTTATTTTATTTGCATCGTTGATTTTTCGGTCGTGCATAAGATGGTTCTTTGCACACAGCCGACGACGCTGAAGCCGGAATTTATGCGAAACGATCCCTTTAACGCTGTCGCGTTGAAATTGGACAGCCAGCACTGCAAGCACAATCGTTTCACGAACATTGGGGTTTATTAGATAAGTAGTTCCGAAACCTGGCGCGGCCATGTGGTAGAATGCTTGACTGCCACGCGGAATGCTTGGGTTCGATTCCTGCTGTGACCCTGACATTTATTCTTTGCATTCGTCGGGTCAGTCAACCCTGCCGATGTCAGGTTTGTGTCAACGCTCGCGCGTTTAAATTTCGCATGTGTGGTCTCGTCGTTCCTAGGTCGTTAATAAATATCAAACAGCTGTGGCACATACCCGCCCTCGGATATGTGCCACTGTCCAGCGGTGTTTGACGACGTGCGTGATGAGATTGTGACATTATGCATGTTTTAACGAGCGCGTCATATTCGTCAAACCATTTTATCCTCTCACGTCAATTTTGGTCCACGCCGATTTGAGGGGGTGATCATGAGAGGATTTAGACGTAAGTGTATAGATATAATGGTAGATATGCAGATAAACGCCAAAAGTGCTTGCAGTACGCAAATGTTTCGTATTTAATTATTTCCCTCGTCATATAAGACTGCTCTATGACTGCCACACGCACACGCACGCGCACGCACACGCACGCGCACGCACGCACACGCACGCACGCGCACGCACGCACGCACACGCACATACACACGCACACGCACATACACACGCACACGCACATACACACGCACACACACATACGCACGCACACGCGCACACGCGCACACGCGCACACGCGCACACGCGCACACGCACACAAACACCTTTCAGTGAAATGCGCCATTGCTGATATTACAAAGTGTAACATAATACTCGTCGCAGGTCTACATGCGCCAACGTGCTGGTGACGACGACGCAGCTTGTGCCCGCCCTAGCCAAGGTCCTCCTGTACGGCCTGGGCGGGGTGTTCCCTATCGAGAGCGTGTACAGCGCCACCAAGATCGGCAAGGAGTCGTGCTTCGAGCGCATCGTGGCCCGCTTCGGGAAGAAGTGCACCTACGTAGTCGTCGGCGACGGCAAGGACGAAGAAGCGGCCGCCAAGCAGGTCACTATTCAGCCTCAATGCCTTTAACCCATAAGGATGGTGTGCGAAAACGCACAAGAAAACGGGGCAATGAGCACACAGGACACACAGAACACACATTGTGCCCTGTGCGTTCATTGCCCCGTTCTATATTTTTACTGTTTCAGCACGATGTTGATGAACCTATTATAGCCTATCTGAAAGCCGTTGTGTTTTCGACAATACTTTTCTTTTATTACGAAACCGTTTTATGCTGGTGTCTACCGAGACTTCACTACGTATTTCCGCCGCAGAAATGACGTCGAAAAAAGTGCAATGTCGGACATCAAAGAAAAAAAAAATTCCGGTAACGGGGGTCGAACCCATGACTTCTCGTTCCACAACAACAAATGCCGGGTATGCGGCAGTCACACACTTTGGAAGTTTCAAAACGGCTCTTTTTTACCCTATTATTCGCGCTCGCAGGAAGCGCACACAACTTTGACCGCACAATTTAAAAAGGATTACGCGGTACTCTTCAGGCCGCAGCGCAAAATTTCGTCCTTGATTAGGCAGCTACAGTGAAGGCTGCATCGAGGTAAAGAAGGGAGTGGGTCTTAAACAGTGTTGCCTACTGTTGTTATTTGATTACAAAGGCAACACACGTACACTCACAGGCTAAGGAGATTGATCTTCCTTGGGACAGTAATAAATTCCCTCTTCAGCTGAAAATGTTACAGGAGAAACCCGTCCACTGACTTCGCCCTCAAGGCCCCGCCACGGTGGTCTAGTGGCTAAGGTACTCGGCTGCTGACCCGCAGGTCACGGGATCAAATCCCGGCTGTGGCGGCTGCATTTTCGATGGAGGCGGAAATGTTGTAGGCCCGTGTACTCAGATTTGGGTGGACGTTAAAGAACCCTAGGTGGTCAAAATTTCCGGAGCCCTCCACTACGGCGTCTCTCATAATCAAATGGCGGTTTTGGGACGTTAAACCCCACAAATCAATCAATCAACTTCGCCCTCAAGTTCCTTTCTGGTGCTGTCCATCGCAAAAGGGACATTTTTTTTGTTCCCTTGATATGCATTGCCGATGCTGTCCACACACTGGAGTCAGCCACTTTTAATCATGGGCCGCTTAATCATGGGCCGCTTATTTTGGGCCGCTTAATTTGGGCCGCTTATTTTGGGCCGCTTATTTTGGGCCGCTTAATTTGGGCCGCTTATTTTGGGCCGCTTATTTGGGCCGCTTATTTTGGGCCGCTTAATTTGGGCCGCTTAATTTGGGCCGCTTAATTTGGGCCGCTTAATTTGGGCCGCTTAATTTGGGCCGCTTACTTTGGGCCGCTTATTTGGGCCGCTTATTTGGGCCGCTTATTTTGGGCCGCTTATTTGGGCCGCTTATTTGGGCCGCTTATTTTGGGCCGCTTATTTGGGCCGCTTATTTTGGGCCGCTTATTTGGGCCGCTTATTTTGGGCCGCTTATTTGGGCCGCTTATTTTGGGCCGCTTATTTGGGCCGCTTATTTTGGGCCGCTTATTTTGGGCCGCTTATTTTGGGCCGCTTATTTGGGCCGCTTATTTTGGGCCGCTTATTTTGGGCCGCTTATTTTGGGCCGCTTATTTTGGGCCGCTTATTTTGGGCCGCTTAATTTGGGCCGCTTAATTTGGGCCGCTTAATTTGGGCCGCTTAATTTGGGCCGCTTAATTTGGGCCGCTTAATCAGAAAGCGCGCGAGGGCAGTTAACGATGCCAGCTTAAACGGAGAGCAAACTCACCGGCCGACTTCAGCCGCGCGAAGAACTGGTGGGAAGTCTAGGATCAGGAGCGCTGTGTGGTTCCGGCACGAATTGCATACTTTCACTCTGAGCGTCTGAACATAGTCGCGCGCTCGCCGTCTTGACAGAGCACACAAAACCTTTGAAGGTGTTGAGTTCTAACGGCTCAGATTGTGTTTGAAGTGATAGACAACAGCAAAGTCCTTGGCAGCTTTTTTTAACTATGCCAGATCGGGTGTGAAGGAGCTAGGCTTGCTTCGTATAACATTCCATTTCGTATAACATTCCATTTTGTCGACTCAACATTAGGGAAGCTTTAGTGAAAGAGGAAGACGAAGTGATTCGTTTACGGAACACACCTTGCTCGTCTTTGTGCTTTTCTGAATTTTTCGCCGCAGTTGTGGGGTCTATCGCCCCATATATCGTGGTGATGAATGTGGTGATGGTGATGTCGTGGTGATGGATGATCGAACCTCGCGGGGCACCGTCCGAGTCCGGTTCGACCGCGGGGACTGCTTCGAGGAAGCGAGGAAACGCGTCTAGTGAGAGGGAGGACACTGAGCTGTGCTCCGCATCAAGCGACGAGTCCTCGGACGACGGCTACTAACCCGTCCTGCACCGCAAGGCTAAACGACGAATTGTCAATGCATCTTCGGCATCAAGCACGACCACCGTGAGAACTGCCCCTCAGCGAGGGCCTCACTCTATCCTGTTTGTGCCGCTGAAGGCCGACAGTCTACGCGGGCTGAACAGGCAAGCGCTCTCTGTGTATCTCGAGAATATTACGCCAAATCAGATCAAAGAAGTACGTGTAAACGCAAGAAGGAACATCTTGGCAATCGATGTGTTGAACCCACGTGCGCTAAACGCGCTTCAGAAAGTAACGCAACTGGGTAACATCAATGTCAAGTCTATAATACCAGCTGATAGCACCACTTCAACAGGAGTTATTTTATGACATCGCCTCGGATCTCTCAGTGCTAATAAAACCGGCAAATGAAGATAACGTCATTGTGAATGTCAGCCGCCTTGGTAACACACATTGTGTGAGAATTACGTTCAAAGGGGACTGTCTCCCCTCCCATGTGATGGTTGGCCACTTTCGTCACCAGGTCCGACCATTTATTCCAAAACTTATGCGATGTCATAAGTGCCAGAAGATCGGCCATGTGCAGGGAGCGTGCAGGAACTCCGAAATAGGCCCCCGACGCTCAGAACCACACACCGAGGACAAATGCAGCGCAACCATACTAAAGTGCCCTAATTGTCACGGTGCCCACAGTGCATCTTCCAAAGACTGTTTACGCATAAAGAAGGAGTTTACTATTGTTAGACAAATGGTGCGAGACAACTCTACCCACAAAGAGGCCGCGGAAAAAGTCCGGCGAAGACGACGACGTCACCGTCGAAGATCTTCGCGAAGATCTTCGACGGTGACGTCGAACAACAAGAAGTAAGTCAACGCATCTGGGAACGGCGCCCACTGTAGGGTACACCGCGGCGAACGCAGACGATGGAAGAGAGAAAACAAGTAGATCTCTCTCTACTGAAGAGTGGCTGCCACTTACGTGCACGCAACTTGTGGAAGAATCACATCAGAAGCCGCATTCATCAGAGCAAACTGCGACAACAAAGGAGCAGCGGAACTCTGATAAGCAAGTGATTGCTCTTCTACGACCGATAATTAATGCCATTCACACGGTGTTAAACAACATGCGCACAACGTAAGCCAGAAGTGCACTTCAAGTACTGGACGCTCTGAGTCCAGTACTGGCGGCTCTTGAGTAGATAATGGCCCACCAGCCACTGTCTTTCAGGGAAGAGGTAAAAAAAGCAACAATTTTTCAGTGGAATGCACGGGGACTGAAATCACGCATTGCAGATTTCCGTCGGTTCGTTTCCACCAATATGTTTCCCATCATCGTCATCTGTGAGCCAAATTTATTGAGCGCTATCAGACTCTCCTGATACGAATCATTTATGTCGGCTTGTTATAGTAGAAACAGCAAAGTCCTGCTGTTTATTCGACGTGACCTGACCTACATTCTTTGGTCTGTACCACCTGACAACGATAACCAATATATATGCTTAACAGTGAAGAAAAACGGTCTTATTGTCACTGTTGTCGGTGCATACCTGTCGCCATCAAGTAGATTTGACCACAGAAGACTAGGACACATCCTATCATCCACTCCTGGCCCATGGGTGATCATCGGAGACTTCAACGCCCACCATACGCTATGGGGGAGCCCGAAGATCAGCGCAAAGGGTAGAAGTCTGATAATGTTTGCTTCAGACAACGAGCTGTGCTTGTTAAATGATGGCAACCCAACATTTTTACGTGGCCCTGGATACAGCAGTTGCCTTGACTTGGCCTTTGTTTCTCGAGGTCTCGTCAGATGTGTCGGATGGTTTGCGGACATAGAAACACATGGGAGCGACCACGTTCCCACATATGTCAAGATCAGAGGATTATCACCTTGCAAGGTACGCAAAACTATCCAAAGAGTGGACTGGACCAAGTTTGAATCTCTCATGGAAGAACGCTGTCAAGAGAACACCTCATTCGACTTAGAAGAGGTGATCAAGTCCACAGTGCAAGACACAGTGTGCACCCTCACATGCTCTTCTAGAGTAACCGAATTTGATGTGGAATCAGAACGACTTCGGGCTCTCCGACGGCGTGCGGAACAAAGCTACCGACGCACGAAAGCAATCGACGATTTACGAATCGCTAGACGTCTTCAGAAGAAGATACAACGCTGCATAGACAAGCTAGAGTCACAGCGTTGGGCAGCCTTCTGCGCGTCGTTAGATCCTCGCAAGCCTTTATCACACTTGTGAAGGACGATAAGAGGGCTCCGGACAGCTCCCATTCAGCGGTCTTCATTCAAGGCTCTAGCCTTCTCTTAACAGAGATCGGAGGTCGACGTGGCAAAATAATTCTGTGCCAACTTATCTGGTCAACTCGCAGATGCCAACATCTCCACGCTCTCACGTGGTGGCACGGACATCACACGATCACCACATGGACCAATTATTTTCTATTCATGAGCTTAAAGCAGCACTGGCTTTGTGTAGACGGACATCAGCACCCGGGCCTGATGGAAGATCATACAGAGCACTGTGTCACCTTGGTGAGTGTGCGAGGAGTGCCCTCCTCGAGATATATACAACGATTTGTGGCGAGAGGGCACCCTCCCAGTTAACTGGAAGACCAGCCGTTTGGTTCCATTACTGAAGCCTGGCAAGTCACCATTGGTGCTCACATCATACCGCCCGACTGCACTGGCTAGTTGCTTGCGCAAAGTGACGGAGAGGATGGTACTTGGACGGCTAGAATGGTTCTTGGAGCATCACAACATCTACCCGGACGCTATGAGGGTATTTCGCCGTGGCCGGTCATCAATTGATAGCGTCGTAGACCTGGTCAGCTACGTGCAACACGAAAAAGGCCGTAAGCGTCTCTGCGCTTCTTTATTTCTTGATGTTAAAGGGGCGTACGATAACGTCACACATAAAGCTGTCCTCACCGCTCTAAAGGAGATAGGGGTGGGTGGTCGGATGTTCCCGTGGCTACGCAGCTATCTCTCTGAGCGATCCTTTTTCGTGAGAACTGAGGATGGTGACACTTCGCTACATTACAGCCACCGTGGTGTTCCCCAGGGTGGCATACTTAGCCCTGTACTATTCAACCTGACGCTAATAGCTTTCAATGAGCATCTGCCAAGTACTGTCAGATTGTCAATGTACGCGGACGACATCTGCGTTGGGACGTCTACAGTAACACGTCTACAGCTGCGAGTGCGAATTCAGAGAGCTGCCACTCAAGTTGCTATTTACCTCCGTCAACGAGGTCTGGAAATTTCCTCTGAGAAATGTGCACTTGTGGCATTTACGCGCAAACCAATGCAGAACTACAGCGTTCTGATAAACAGCGAAAGGATACGTCACCTCCGATCATACAAGTTCCTAGGTGTTATACTTGACATAGACCTCTCATCGAGCTCACATGTATCATACATGAAAAGGCGATTGACAGGCATCTGTCATTTGTTCAAGTTCTTCGCTGGAAAGAACTGGGGAATGTCCACAACTGCTATGTTGCGACTATACAGGATTATTTTCCTTGGATTTTTTCGGCACAGCCTACCTGTGTTAATCAACGCAAGTAAAACAAGGATACGAATGCTTCAAAGTGTCCAGGCTCAAGCACTCCGGATATGTTTAGGCTTGCCCCAAAGTGCGTCAACAGCGGCAACTATCGTCATCACAAGGGACAACCTCATCAAGACCCACATTAATGTGGAAGTGCTGAGGACACATATACGACACCTTGCTCGAACTCCTCGACATCACCTAGCCTCTCTACGAGTGGTCCGACCATGCACATCTTACTGCAAAACAGTGACCGCACATGGTGAGTCGATCCCAACTTCGTTCTCTCCTGCCGCTAGACCTGTGACTCCGCCATGGTGCCTCGCTCAATCAATGATTAATATTAACATACCTGGCGTCCAGAAAAAGGCCAATTTGTCGTCACCGGCTCTTAAACAGCTCACACTACTTCTCTTGTATGAGAAATACCAAGACTCCACACATATACACTGACGAATCGGTTCAGCCGGACAGCTCTAAAGAAGCAGTAGTGATATCAAGTTTGGCCACGACAATTAAATTCAAGACATCTCACGCAACAACATCAACGGCAGCAGTATTGGCAGCACTTCATGCTGCGTTGCAATTTGTAGTTGATCAACCTACACGCAAGTGGACTATTTTCTGCGACTCGAAGGTGGCACTGCAGTCTCTACTATCAGCCTTACGCCGTGGACCACACGAGCAGCTGGTACTAGAGATAGCAGAGGTTATACATCACCTGACTGAGAAAGGGCACCAAATTACATTTCAGTGGTTGCCCAGTCACTGCGGAATCATCGGCAATGAACGGGCCGATCCAGCTGCCCGCTCAGCCCACACAGAAGATCATAAACTACGACTACCACATTCTAGGACAGATGCTGCACGAAAGTTCCGCAGGCTTGCTCGCCAGCAAACCACATCACAATGGAATCAGGCACATTTCAAGCATGTCCGACTGTACTCGCCTGACCCTACGCTAAGTCTTCAAGTCCCGTCGAGGCTTTGCCGAGCAGACCAGACCCTGTTATGTAGGCTGTGGTTGGGCGTTGCTTTTACCAATGCCTACGCTTTTCGCATTGGGATGGCCGACACCGCAGCCTGTGGCCACTGTGGCAAAGAGGAAACAATCCAAAATATTCTTTGTGACTACCTAGCGTATAGTAAACAACGACTATGCCTTCGCAAAAAACTCAACAAATTAAATGATCAACCTCTGTCGGAGCAGGGAATTCTGCAGTATCGACAGGATGCGACTTCACAGAAGAGGGCCCTGAAAGCGCTACTACACTTTTTGCGATCGACCGGCCCTTACTGAACGGTTGTAGCTAGGACGCCCTTCCTGTGTGTGTTTTCGTTTTCTTATGAGTGCGCGTGCGTTTTTTTTTTCCTCTATCTACCCTCTCTTTCTTGCCCCTACTTCCCCGCCCCCAGCGCTGGGTAGCGAACCAGATGCCAATATCTGGTTAACCTCCCGGCCTTTGCTTCTCCCTCTCTCTCTCTCTCTCTCTCTCTCTCTCTCTCCATTTTGTCGCATTCGTTGCTTCGCTTTTGTGCGGAAGTTGCGACTACCGTTTTTGTTACCATCTGATATGCCAGCCGTGGTAGCCAAGGTTTTATATTGTTACTGTCCTAAGCTCGAATATGCAGGATTTGAATCTTGGCCATGCTGGTCCCATATCGACCACCGTACATCAAGGTGCTCGTTAAGGACTTAAAAATGGTCAAAATAATTAATAAGCGTCCCTTGTCACCGGGTGCCTCATAATTACTTTGTGCCCTTGTCTGGTCAAACCACTGAACTTAATCTTTAATAGTTTATATTGTTCTCATTTCTCCCTGATCAGATGGGCTTTCCCTTCTGGCGCGTCAGCAGTCACTCGGACCTGGCGGCGCTCCACCACGCTCTCGACCTTGGTCACCTGTGAGCGGCTCCAAACAGAAACCACGAACGGGGAGAGGGACCACTACGACCACCACATTCCGAAGAGGGAAGCGTCCCGCACTGGGAAACGGATCGAAAACGCGCCTGCGTCTTACATCATGGACAGCCCTCACACCTCATACGGCACGTGCGTCGCACCGTCGGGAACTGTGCCGAGTAGTTCTGCCGTTTTAAATTGAGTTCGCATGGGGACACAACCGGCCAGGATGCGAATGTCCTGCCGTGTCTTGATGCAACCGCCCTAGTCCCTATGACAGCGCCTGGGTGTTGCTACTTAGTGTGTGCAAGAAAGGACTGCCTTGCCTCCCGTGATGTTGTGGGTGAGGGAGATGGGTGTGTATTGATTCGGTCACCAGTGACTCGAGGTGACCCCACCGTGCCGACCCGGCTGCCGAAAGTGTACCGAAGACACGTGACAAAGGACCACGTTCCGCTCAGCCACCACCTCAGTGCTGTTTCTTGTGCCAACTACGCCGTGTCACCATAATTTCTCCCCGTTGATTTGTCATATTGAGTTTCGTTGGCACATTTCTAAAGTGACGCTCTATGGGCTTCGTATTGCTTTAATTGTTTCTCGCTTCAAATGGCTGAGTGCGTGTAACTTAGGCTCTAGTTCCGCGATTCAGTCCCGCAATTAAGTACGAGATGCAATTTTATTACTTTGGTTCAATAGATACAAGTGTACATGCGTCACTAAACGCAAAAAAAAAAACTTTCAAAAGTTGAGTTGAATAGGAAAGTGCCCATTATACTGTTACAGGAGTCTACAGCATTTCAATGCACTGTATGTAGCGTAAGAACTCTTTTGTGGTTAGCCGCGAACAAGTGTGATAAGCTTACAACATCGCATTGACACGGACTTCGTGGCACTACTACTGCTTGATTCCCGTATTGCAGCTGCCTCATTACTATAGTTCAATGAACTACAATCATGTATATGTGTTTGTGCTTACATTATTGTGACATTGAACTAGCAGCTTCTTCGGCCACGATATCAAACATGCCCCGATTAGCTTATAAAATTTCGTTTGATCGTCTTTGCCAGCACGCAGTAATATTGCGCGTACTGTGTCATTAGAACACCCGGCCCGACGTGTCTTCTTGCAACGCGCAGACATTTCACAGTCGTGATCAGTATGGGGGAGAACGCGCCATCTGCCGACTTATTTCTTATAATTTCAATGCCATTTCAAGTTTTTAAGATTGTACTTCACATAACGGACTTACGTTTTGTGTGCGATTGGTAGGTTTGTCGACATGAATTGGAAGGCCATCCAGCTTTTTTTTTTATTTGGAGTCTTGCAACTCCTGAAATAGATATCTGTTGTTCTTATATCGTCAAGTGGAAGTTAGGAAACAAGCAGCTTGACCGGCTGGCGATTTCGGAAGGATAAATCAGTCATCAAGGGTGTTGAGGACCATAGCCGGCACTTCGTGGCTTGCCATGACACGATGACTGTATATTTAGTTGACACGAGGTTGACAGCCAATTTCTGAAAATTTCAAGTGTAAATTTATAGACGCGAAGCAGCTCTTTGAATCACGTGTAACGCCGTACGTACGCGCGTCCGTACGAACGTGCCGCAACGCGTTCCCGTCGCCGCAGGTGCTCAAGCGGTGCCAAATAGGTCACGCCGCAGCTGCGCGTTGACGTCACACTCGCCTCGCACGCTTCTCCCACAGGTTCGCGCTGACGTCATTATCTCTCTCACCCGCAGCGCGCTCGCCGCAGCGCCTGCAGCTGCCGGCTCTTCCGCCCACTCGCAACACACTTCCCCTCTCGCTTCACCCTCTCCACCGCTCGAAACGCTCAGCCGCACGTCGAGAGAGAACACTTTTTCGGCTCGTTTATCTGCGATGACACTAACACGATACCCAACCCTCCTCTCGTGTTTTTGCGTTTCAAACAAACGTACACTAGAGTAAACGGAACACCGAGTTTCGCTTCAGACCGGTCTTCCAGTAGCGGCGTCGAAGCCCGTTTAAACCAGGTCAACGCCGTGCGTACCGCTGCTGCTTCACATTCCATCAGGGTCCCCTTCGAAGAGATGGTCTACAATTTTTAGTACGAATGAACAAGCTTCGATTCATTTTTCCAGACTTGTTAAGGCCGCTTCCCAAACGTAAGCTGCTGACATTGCTTCGTTTATTTAGCGATTAACTTGAGCGCTCTGCTCCGAGCAGTAGGGCTTCCACATTCGTTTGTACGTGCATTCTTGCGCGTGATTGGTACAGTCAAGGAAGAAACAACACAGCGACTCACACTGTCAAGCACAATGCACCTGCAATTGGTTACGTAGCTCACCACGTCAGGTGTATAGGCGCGCGCCAGCACGAGTTTCACGAGAGCTGGCTGGTATTCGTATGAATTAACGGAAGGCTGGGCTGGCAGCGGGGAGCTATTCGAACTCTAAGCGAAATAGTACAGGCGAAAAAAGCGTAGGAATCTTCACTGATCGCAGTCGATTTGGACGTCCACATAGTATTTATAACGCGCCTTTAATTTTTTGGCGCACATTTCGTAGCATGATATGTTCTTTTATTATTCTATCGCATAGCCGTCCTTTGTTCTATCAGATGTTTTCCGCAAATTCAGTACCACTTCAGGACTATCTACATTCGAGCTTTCGTGCATCTGTAGCAAAATAGGTGAACTCTCTGGCCGCGTTTCAGAAGTTCAAAAGTCTAAAGCGTATCGAAGTCAATGGTCGAAACGTCCTACATAAGCGTAGGACGTTTCGCATATTACTTCAACAAAAAAAAACTTTCAAGAAATGCTTGGGCCCTCTAATTTGGTTGGGCATACTACCGAAGCCTCTAGATACACAAATTCGCAAGACCTGCAAGTCGTGTACTTCGCATTTTCCTTAGGATCTCGTTACTTGTTCGTTTCCATGGTGGCCGACGCTGTATATAAACCAACACAGAAGCTGGTTTCACATTACTGCATTTAGTGTTACTAGCCACTCGTCTACGAAGTGATTGCCTTTACTCAACAGCTCGAAGCCAAAGATGCGCTTGTCCGAGGAGACGAGAGAATGAAATATAGATCACGTGACTGTAGACTTCAAGTGCTGCTATCCTGGTAACCAAGAGAACCAATAAAAGCCAGACATTTCGGTCCGACTCAATTATTTTGTGTCATCCGCGCGGCACGCACTTGGCGGTGCTGCATGCACGCTGTAAAGAATAAGTAAATGCAGCAATATTCCGAAATTCCATTGCATTCCTTATATGGGTCCCTTATATCTATATATTATCTGATTCTGAGAAAAACAAAATGCAGTGTGCGCAAGACCCACGAAACACTGAGATGGTGCAGACTAAAGGATACCATGGATGTATAATACATGACCTGTGTATGTGCTTCTGAGTACTGCATAAAACTGCTTCAGATTTCATGCGTAGTGACACACTGTAAATGCTTGGGCATTTTGTACATGGCAGATACAACGTGAAAGAGGGAGCACGAGGAGTGTGTGTGTGCGTGTGTGCGTGTGCGCGCGCGCGCTTAATATCAATAAACATTAAAAAAACGAGAAATAAACGATTTCAAACGCCTGTCGAGCGCGAGACTTTCCACTGCGGACCACTGGCGCTCGTGTGCTAAATCGGATCACCTGGTCCAGCCTTCGTTGCACCAAGGTAAGCGAGCGGCCGGAATCGCCGCGTAGCTCTGGCGCGGTCCAGTGCCGCAGACATATGTCGATAGGGGCACGGAGAAAGTGAGACACGCGCATCCTTCTCCCTTCTGGTCCAGCCATACCATGATGACGTGCGCATTGGGATGGGGGGCAGTGGATAAGAAATCATCATCAGCCTTGATGTTGACAAGAAATCATCAAGGCGCTCGAAGAATAACAAGACTTCTCCTTGCGTGAGCGTGTGCTCAATATGCTACACGCGGAGTGTTACGCCAAGCGACGACGACAGCACAGGACAGCCCGGCCCCTTCAAGTACACTTCTCAGACGGTCTATTACAACTCCAGCGACTAGCAAGTCAAACCTTTATGTGACCCTCTCTCTCTCTCTCTCCTCTTTTTCTATTTTCTGTTTGACAAGTGTCCCCTCAACGTTTCGCAAGCGCTGATGTCTAGTCGGTGAGTACCGTAGGAAACTGCGTGGTTGCGACGTTGCCTCGAGTCCTTTTCTCGACTGGTCTCTGCACGGCGTCTTCGCTTTCCACGATTTGTCAGTGCCTGGGAGGGCCCAAATAAAGGTCCATCCTACGATTGTCAAAAACACATGTCTATGTAATTTTTGCAAAGCAAGGCTTATTCCGAACAGTATAATATTTCAATGTTCCATGTCTCCCAAAAAGGATTTTGTTTTACGACAATAAAATTCAACGAAGCCTTCGTAGAAAATGTTCTTTGCTATTCGTATTAAAATGCGGTTACAATGGACTCATCTGCTTTCCTTCGGCAAGCAAAGGTGTGTAGCTTAGTGGTAAAGACATCTACCTTCGGAGTACAGGTACCCAGGTTCGAATCCAGCACCATTGGAATGAATTTTTGTATACTAAATTTTTTCGTGATGTCCAGGTACACTTGTTTTCTGCAAGCAGAGTTAAAAGTACATACGTGTTTAGCAGCGTAAATTGTTTGTTGGTCAAATCTCCTGGATTACAAGGATAGCCTACTGAGCTAAGAGTCCCCATGCGTTTTTTGCGTTTTTTTTAACTGGTCCTCTCTTTTGCCCTGTTTTATTACGTGCATATCGTACCTACTCGCCCAAGCATCCACTTCAGATGTCGACAATAGTGCGGTCCAAGCTTATTACCGTTAATAAGGTTCAAAATTTGTCTGACGTCACACCTTGCAGCGACCAACTACGCTCATAACAAGGACGATTCCGAGCGGCATCTTCCCCTGGGAGGTTGGCTTCACCCCAATGTATGTCGAAAAATGGTCAAAAAAGTTGAAGCCATTATCACCGCTGATAAGGCCCAACTTTTCTTTGACGTCACAAATTGCAGCGACCGACCAACTACGCTCATATACGCTCATAACAAAGGCGATTGCGAGCGGCAGCTTCCCCTGGAAGGTTCGCTTCAACCCAATGTATGTCGAAAAGTGGTCAAAAAAGTTGAAGCCTTTATCAGCGCTGATAAGGCCCAACTTTTGTCTGACGTCACACCTTGCAGCGACTGACCAACTACGCTCATAACAAAGGCGACTACGAGCGGCAGCTTCCCCTGGGAGGTTCGCTTCACCCCAATGTATGTCGAAAAGTGTTCAAAAAAGTTGAAGCCTTTATCACCGCTGATAAGGCCCAACTTTTGTCTGACGTCACAAATTGCAGCAACCGACCAACTACGCTCATAACAAAGGCGATTGCGAGCGGCAGCTTCCCCTGGGAGGTTCGCTTCAACCCAATGTATGTCGAAAAGTGGTCAAAAAAGTTGAAGCCTTTATCACCGCTGATAAGGCCCAACTTTTGTCTGACGTCACAAATTGCAGGGACCGACCAACTACGCTCATAACAAAGGCGATTGCGAGCGGCAGCTTCCCCTGGGAGGTTCGCTTCAACCCAATGTATGTCGAAAAGTGGTCAAAAAAGTTGAAGCCTTTATCACCGCTGATAAGGCCCAACTTTTGTCTGACGTCACACCATGCAGCGACTGACCAACTACGCTCATAACAAAAGTGACTACGAGCGGCAGCTTCCCCTGGCAGGTTCGCTTCACCCCAATGTATGTCGAAAAGTGGTCAAAAAAGTTGAAGCCTTTATCACCGTTGATAAGGTCCAACTTTTCTCTGACGTCACAAATTGCAGCGACCGACCAACTACGCTCATATACGCTCATAACAAGGCGATTGTGAGCGGCAGCTTCCCCTGGGAGGTTCGCTTCACCCCAATGTATGTCAAAAAGTGGTCAAAAAAGTTGAAGCCTTTATCACCGCTGATAAGGCCCAACTTTTGTCTGACGTCACAAATTGCAGCGACCGACCAACTACGCTCATAACAAAGGGCGATTGCGAGCGGCAGCTTCCCCTGGGAGGTTCGCTTCAACCCAATGTATGTCGAAAAGTGGTCAAAAAAGTTGAAGCCTTTATCACCGCTGATAAGGCCCAACTTTCGTCTGACGTCACACCTTGCAGCGACCGACCAACTACGCTCATAACAAGGCGATTGCGAGCGGCAGCTTCTCCTGGGAGGTTCGCTTCACCCCAATGTATGTCGAAAAGCGGTCAAAAAAGTTGAAGCCTTTATCAACGCTGATAAGGCTCAACTTTTGTCTGACGTCATACCTCGCAGCAACTCCAGTTCCATACCTGAAAAGCGTCTGATGAAGAAAGTGCAAGAGAGCGAGTTGCTACGATGAGATGGCGAGAACACGTGGTGCTGCAAATCCACCCTGGATTTGAAATACAAGCGAATACACGTGATTGGTCAGAGCAATATAACATGACCTCGGCTCCGGCAATCACACTCTAGTGAACAGAACACGTCACTTGACACTTAAAGATATATCACGTGATGTCGCAAATCCACCCTTGATTTGAAATACGCGGGGATACACTTGATTGGTGAAGGCAATATCACGTGACCTTGGCTCTGACAATGAGATTTAAGTGGACGTAACACGTCACTTGACTTCTAGAGAGATCACGTGGTGTCGCGAATCCACCCTCGTTTTGAAATACGCGCGAATACACTTGATCGGTGAGAGCAATACGCGTGAGCTCGACTCCAGCTGTATGCCAGTTAATGTGCCACGTCACGTAACGTCTATGGAGATCACGTGGTGTCGTAAATCTACAAGTACGGTCAGGTGTCATCGCGTGCATCCAAATGCGCGCAATCACACATCACCGTTACAAAGAATTATTAAAAAAAATATTCGATTAGCGCGGGAACAGCGTTTCGAACCTACGACCGTTCGCTTTGCAGCGCGGTGAGTTTAACCGCTCGGCCATCACCCACACACACCCAAGCGTGTTTACGGCAGGCTATTTATATACATAATTTATTGTTAGTGAAACGCTCCTCTCGGAGGTAATTTAGTTTCTTGAAAGAAATCCCACGAGATGGCGCAAAGGGCCCAGGGGTATACGAAGTTTCATAGGGGTTTTAATGGGGCACACTTTCCCCAACTCGTGCTCCCATTATTTATGCCTCCTCCAACGTGTTATGTCGCACCACATACATGAATATAATTACCGCCACGCGTCTACATTTTTTCGTTAATTACGGTTCATCTAAGTGTCGACCGAAAACGGAAGCTAGGCTTGCGATTGAGAAGGCAGTACAAGAAGTGTTCAATTGCGCCATCGTGTTCTACTCGTGGAACTGAAGCTCGAGCTAGCACCTATATATAGTTTGTACAGCAAAAGCTGTTATGAGATTACAACGTGGGCCATTTTTGGCACCGTCTAGTTGTCCGCCACGGCCACCGCCGTTGTCCGTCATCACTATTGCTCGAAATAAAAAAAAGTTGGAAAATAATTAGAATTTCTTTTCGCCTTGGAAAAAATACCACGAGGCTAAGGTCTAGGTAGACTGGGGTTCGAACCTGCATTCTTACCGTCGTAATCCAGCATTCTACCACATAGCCATGCCGGTACCGAGACGAGAGTACAACTAGGTTTATACATTTTCTGGATTTCGAAAGAATAATTTAATGAAGCCCCCATATCAAGTGACTTGATTTTTAAATGATCTATAATTGTCGGTACAACCCACAGATATGCTTCCCATAAATTTAGTTTTGCAGGCGTGGTCATATCACTCAGTGAATATGAAACTTCTCTACTGCATGCAAGGACCTGCGTTCAAACTCCAACTCGCAAAGAAGAGATACTTCGTTTTATTTTTTATTTATTCACTAACCTACTGTTCACGTGACCTGCGTGAAGCTCACAACTACTGACTGCTACGACGAGGACGTGGCAGAGCTAGCAAGCTTCACAGTAAGGGGCTATCTTAAGGTATTGTTGATTTTCTTGCTGCACCCTAGTGGATTTCAGAAAGAAGTCAGAAAAAATCTGCGGCTCTTGTTAGCGATGATAAGGCTCAACTTTTTTACGACGACACATCTGGCAAGCAGAAATCCGCCATACCTATGAGCTTCCATTTTCGACAAAATATCACCTGTACTATAGCGATTGGCGACTGTATGACGGC